GCTTTTACCATAACGTAATCTAACTGAAAGTCTAAATATAATTTTATCTAATCCCAACCACCACCATTGCTGATTTCTTCTGTTGAGGACTGATCTTCTCGCTGTCGATATTGATCATAACGTCTGGTCGGTTCTTCTACGGGTGTATCATCCGGTGACGGTGTATGTAATACGGTGCTCTGTTCAAAATAAACCATCAATTCCATCAGTTTTATCGTTTTATCATTTTTATTATTTCCATCAGCTCTATTATTTCCATCAGTTCTATCAGTTCCATGAATTGAAAAAATAGAATATATATAAAGAATATATATATTATATATAAAATAAAATAAAAATAGAATAAAATACTTGCCTGTTGTGCGTTTGTCACCATCTGAAGATTACTATTAGGGTAACCTTGTGGTGTAGATGGAGTTGTACCTGGAGTAGTATTACCAGCACCTAGACCTGGTAATTGATAAACAGCAGCACTGTTTCTTGGTGACGAATGAGATGATGATGGAGTTGTTGCTTCAGGGAATTCGTATTTTACTCGTTTACCGGAATGATTCCAACCCGAAAAGGCAGAATTATTTGGGGAAGAATTTGAGCTTACATTCATTGGACTTGGAAAAGGACCAGCAGCAGCAGCAGCATTAACTGCAGCGGTAACAGCAATATTATTTAATGGAGTTGGAGGATGCATAGCAAGAGGGGGACTTGATTGATTCGAATTATTGACATTATTATATTCATCACTTTCTTCTTCACCTACGAAACCTCTTTTTTGACCAATAAGTTGCGGTGAACCACTTTGAGCAGGACTTCCTGATACATCGGTAGCCGAGACAATATTATAAAGGCCTTGATTATTTGGTCGTATGTAACCGTTACTACCGGGATTTTCCTCAGACTTTTTTTTTTTTTTTTTATATATATATATTTTTAAAATTTTTTTTTTTTTTTTTAATTTTTTGATTATAAAAATTTTATGTTAAAAATCGGTAGAAACTTCACATAAAGGAAGTTTGTAGTTTGTTGGAATAATTAGCCGTCGTCGCATTCTTTAATAGATTGCAACCACTCACCGCCGGTCCAGGAACCACGGCAACACCTTGCTGTCCTTGAGGTTGACCGTTTATTAAACCATAACCAGCTTCATAATCTTCTAAATGAGTTTGTGGATGATTATTATTTCTAGGAGGTTGATTTGAATATATTGGTACAGCAGGTGGATTAGCGACATGTTGAGGACGTTCAGCATATCCGGTGGCTGGTGGATACGGAGATGATCCATGATCTTGACCTTGCGGTACATTAGGGTTTCCCATGATCGGATTACCATTACCATATGGATACCATTGCCGAGATGTATCGGGTGAATATGGAGTATTATTGAAATTATTTGCGTAAGGATGAGTAGGTCTCCATTGAGATTGTGGACCATTGCCTATAGATGGAATTCTAGTTGACATTGATGGACCATATGAATTATGAAGAAAGATACTAGGATCATCCACGAATAAAGGATAGAGCTAAATTATTATATAAAGAATAAAGAATAAATTATTATAAATCGCGAGTCACGTGCGTGTGAATATGTTAATGTGTGAACAGAAAAATTTACCAGTTCACTGATTTTGAATTGGGCGGCGAGAGTCTTTGCGCGTTGAAAAGTGATCCTATGATTAATTATTATTATCGTTAATGATTATTATTATTATTATAGTCAATGATCATATATGGTTGTTGTTATTATAGTTAAATGATTAAAATTATCATCATCAATTATTATAGTTAATAAATAATAATAATAATAATAATAAAAATAAATATAATTATTATTATTATTATTGTTGTTGTTGTTGATGTTGATGTTGTTAAAGATTCAAATGATTAAAGCTCGATGATGATCATCAAGATGCGAGATCAAAAAACGGATCAAATCACAAGATGAGCACAAGATCAAACAAATATCAAAGTTGATTTCAAAGATGATAAAAAGAAAAAAAAAACCGCCACAAATAATAAAGAAAATGTAACAATTTCATCTAAAAAAAACTTACCAAACACCTTTTAGATGCATAGCCCCAACCTTTACTACGACTCTTCCTTTTTCATTTTTAAGAATACCATCTCGTTTACCACGTGACATTCCTACAACGTTCAATAATTTCGTTCCGTTGATCATGTCATTATCTGCGGGAAAAGAAAATAAAGTCCGGGAGTAAGTGGGGTAAAAAAAAATAGTAAAAGTTATTAAGATCAAAGTTAGTTGAAGTTAAAGAAATCAGATGATCAAATATTATGTCAACGAATTCAATAATAAAATATCAAATATCATAAATCATGAAGTAATGCGCGTTTAAAAAAGTTTTTTTTTTAAAAAAAAAGTAAATATATATTTACCTTGTCGACGAGCTACACAAATTCCACGAGCATCAACTTGATAACATAAGGTTCCTTCATCTTCCCATATAGTAGTGGTAAGTTTTGGACGAGGAGTATGACCTTGAGGCATTCCTGAACCAGCACTACCGTAACCGACAGCAGGAACAAAAGCACTACTACCGTTAGCAGATAAGACAGCAGCACCATTTGGAGGGTTACCACCCCCGAAGTAAGAAGGCCAGAAAGGGTGGGTGGTAGGGTTAGCAAAATGATGTTGAGGATAAATCATGGTACTACCATTGCTGTCTAAGTGAGGAGTCAACATTGCTGAAGTTTCTTGTTGAGGAAGAGAGTTCTTTGTAGTAGTAGGAGTAGTTACCGGAGTAGGGTGCTGAGGAGTCTGATTATTATAAGGAGTAAAAGCCGATTGAGGACCGGAAGCAGAAGGAGGAGTTTGAGTAGCGGTCGAAGTTAAAGAACGTGGACCAGCAGAAGGGCCTTGGGTGCTGGAAGAAGTATTTGTCGAAGGTTGCGTGTTTGTCGACGTGGTGGAAGGTATACTTATATTTCGAGGAGAGTTTGGCTTGTTATTTGGAGACGTCGTGGTGTTAGAGAACGGAGGAGCCGGAGAAGTCGGCGTAGTTGGGTGTTGTGGTGGTGAGTAATGAGTGCTGGCAGTTGTTAATGCAGGATTGGTGTTAGATGAATCGGTAAAAAGCTTATTTGAATTCTGGAAACCAGCCATAAATGAAAAAGTTGTCGCGTATAATGTCTATATGTAAGCGTCTGTATGTACCGCCAATCTGTTCTGTTTGAATTTTATATTTTTCAGCAACCAGCCGGACAGGAGCAAGGTTTGTTGCAGTTTATTGGTATTTCAGAGATTTTTGGTTGGTCGGACTTGTAGTTGAATTGTGGCGTGAGAAAATTGTATGTAATAGGATTGGTTGGAGTTTAAGGAAAAAAAATTTCTATATACGGAGGAAGGGATATAATAAGGGGGATATAGTTTCTGATATAGGTAAAGTGATGTCTGTATAGATACCCAAAGAAATAAGATCCGAAAATTTCTTCCAGGGGCGACAAATACGACCTATAATAACAATAATAATAATAAAAAAAAAAAATTATTACTTTGAACGAACGATAAATGAATCGATGAAATGTAAGAAGAGAGAGAGAGAGAGAGAGAGCGAGAGAGCCTGTTATAAAAGAAATAAATAAATAATAACCGCGAGAAAAAGAATGACAGTTTAAAAATGATTTTGATTTTTGATCTTTTTATATATATATATATATATATATATATATATATAATATTATATATATATATATTGTTTATTGTTATTATTAAGTGAAAGAACGAATAGATTGATAAAAAAAAAAAATTTTTT